ACAGCACCAGCCATTCGTTTTCAATGCACAAGGAAATTAATAGCGACGGCGAACGACTAAGTCGCTGATGGCGAAAGCAACACACTCATGGACACACCGGAGAACCAGTAGGTATCCCTTCAACACCGTCGCTGTGTTCACTGTCCCGACCCATCTTCTTTCAGGCCATCTGCCCCTCTCTGCTTCCCAGAACCCACAGCCTCATCTCTTCTTCTTCTTCTTCTTCTTCTTCTTCTTCCTCCTCCTTCTTCTTTTTCTTCTTCTTCTTCTTCTTCTTCTTCTTCTTCTTCTAGAACCTTTCCGGGCCAATGTATGTCCGGCGCATCTCACAGTTCATGACGATCATCAACACACAGAACCACCTCCCTCTGTCTTGATGGATCGGGGGACAGACAGCTGACAAAAACGCGGAGATTGTAGATAGATGGACTGACCAGACAGAGAAGGGATCCCGATCTATCTATCTGTCTCCTTCCAACGTTACCTCATTCGATATCCGACACCGGCTTTTCGTCGATGACCTTCCGGCCACTTGTACCATCTCAATATGATAGTCAAGACACCCAACTCTCCTCCCTCTCACAAACTCTCCACGCCAAAGTTGCCCGCGCCCTCATGATGCCGCAGTCGCCCATACGTACACAGACAACGGCTCACCCCAGGCAACAACCCATCATCACCCCTCCAGCGAACTGGATCACCCCTCTTTGCGTTTTGCACGAGCACAATCTCTCTCTCTATTGCTACCGGTAGTGAGGAGGTTTGCCAGGGCCAGGATAGGGAAAAGGCCGAATCTCCCCTTGGCTAGCAAGGAGGTTTGCCAGGGGCAGGAAAGGAAAGGAACATTCTTTTGCGGGCGGCCGAAGAAATTGCCCATCGTTCTCCCACGAGTTCCAACGGCCATCAACGACTACAACTGCTACTTCGCAGAGCGTGTAGAAGGGAAAGAATAGGGCCTGTTTTCGAAAGAAAAAAAAAAAAAGAAAACGAAAGAATAGGGCCTCGCTCCGATACTCTCCACTCCACATGCACAAATTTAAGACAAAAAATATGGCGGCGTATCTTTCCATGTTCTAGCAGAGGATTCATTTTCAGTTTGAACATTTGGAGAGTAGCGGAGCGAGGGCCGTCACGCGAAATCTGCGGAATGGGCATCGCCGCACCACTGTCGAAACGAAAAACGTTCAAATGCATGTTCACACAGAAAGTGGCAAGATGCATCCTTTCCTATGACTTGAAACATATGCATCTGGGCACTTTTTGAGGAAGATGCACTAGTGCTTTTTTCGTTTCGACGGTGGTGTGGCGAGGCCCTAAATCGACGAGGGCAGCAGTCACGAGAAGCAGAGAGGTGATAGACACTGTTGCCCAGTGGAAGACAAAAGAGGTGAAGAACCGGCGGGCCTTTCTCAGTTGGTACGCCCATGAACTGTTGAAATACAGACTCAAGCTCGAACCCAGATGCTATCAGACGAACAGAATAAAATCATTCTGAATTGCCAGGGGCCGGTCAGTTCAATGATGATATCTGAAGGCCATCCCCTTTAAAAAAAAATAAAAAAAAAGTAAAGAGGCGATGAGGCAAAATTCCGAATGCTAACACGTGATTGTCGAGCGTCGCGCTCGGACGGTTTTTGCGCTACGGAGCTCTCCATTCCAAGCCGGCATCGGCCGGCGCCTGTGCCGTATGGATCTTCGTCCTCGGTCGCCGCGCCGCTACCTCCTCGCCTCCTCCGCCATCACCGACGGAAAGCGAGGGCACGTGCACACTCACCCAACGTGAGCTCCGCGCAGTGGTTCGTGCTTTGAGGTAGTCCTTTCACAGTAGGCGAAGGTAGCGTAGGAGAAGTTGAATAGTTCGCAACTGTGAGTATCCGGTCGTGTTTGACATCAGCTCGGAGGAAGAAGCAACGTGAAGGAAAAAAGAGAGTTCTGCACCTGAGTACAAGGAGCGAGGGGTTTTTAGGGCCAAAGTTTCTAAATCATGGATGAGGAGGTGGAGAATGAAGGAAATCGTTCCCCCCCCTCTACTAACTTCTGGGCGATGGAAGATCGCGTTCGACAGTCGATTGGGCAATGTTATGACGAAGGGGTGTTCTCAGTCGAACCTAGCATGGGGGAGGCATTCAGGATGAGAGAGACAGAAGGTTCAAAGTTAACGAATCTCTTTACATCATTCAAGTTAAGGAGAAATGGTTGAAAGAGAGGACGGTTATCATCATCTTCTAGGATGAAGCTAAGGGCTTATCCAGAGGAGTGAAAGAAGATCTTATTGGGTCGTTCGAGGATGGATGGTTCGCTAGGCGATTATTCAGTCCGAAGGTACGTAGAGGCCGCATCAAGTTTGAAGGCCCAAACGTTATCTCGTATGTCGCAAAGGCTGTTGAGGTTGCCACTTGGCTAGCGAGGAAAGACTCTACTATGCTCCAACTCAAGGGGAAGGAGTATCCGGTTTTCTTCAAGCCTTAGATGACAAAATCTGACCTGAAGGAACTCAAACTGAAAGAAGCTGAGACGAATTTTTGGATTATCGCCTGGAGGACGCCCCTTGATGCGATGTATTACCTTCCTTCTGTTGTGGAAGGTGTGATTGGTGGAGTAAGGCTGATGCACGCGCCGGAAGCAGATCGCTCCAGACCAAAGTTGTTGAACGTCAAAATTGACATGGATCCTCAGGCAAGGCTTAGAGTGGAGGATAATCTTATTATCGAATCACCTAAGGGCGAGTGGTGGAAGGTTCAGGTGGCGACACCGTTCACGGATTGGTGCAGACGCTGCAGATGGTACTTTTGCATAAAAGATTCTTGCCCAAGACAGGACTAAGATAGATAGCCCAAAGGACCGAGAAACGACAATTTACGACATCAGCAACAGATGCGGGCAAACTCTTCAAGAGAGGCTTCAATTCCTGTGAGAGAGGCACCGGTCCCTGCGGCCCCAATAGGGGACCCTCAACTATCTCAAACTCGGCAAGGAAGGAGTTAGGGCAGGGGTCATAGCACGGGTTACTCGTTGGGGGGTGGTCAGGTTTCGGAACCAGCAGGGTTGGCGTGACCTCCCGGTCCCCCTGTGAACAGGGGTGATACCACCCCCCCCTCCCTTCCTCCCTTCCTCCCTACCTCCCGGACGACCAGAGCATAGCAGCGCAATACCCCCACATTCAAGAGAACCCTGCCTTCTCCCCGCTCTTCAACTCCTGCCGCACGGTAATGCTACCACAGCCGGCTCCGGGTCCCCTCCCCCTCCCACCTCCCACCTCCCCGCTCAGCGATACCGGCACCCTGAACACTGGATCCCCCCCCCCCCTTCGTCTTCTATACCTGTCTCTTATACACATCTAGATGTGTATAAGAGACCAATTTACGACATCAGCAACAGATGCGGGCAAACTCTTCAAGAGAGGCTTCAATTCCTGTGAGAGAGGCACCGGTCCCTGCGGCCCCAATAGGGGACCCTCAACTATCTCAAACTCGGCAAGGAAGGAGTTAGGGCAGGGGTCATAGCACGGGTTACTCGTTGGGGGGTGGTCAGGTTTCGGAACCAGCAGGGTTGGCGTGACCTCCCGGTCCCCCTGTGAACAGGGGTGATACCACCCCCCCCTCCCTTCCTCCCTTCCTCCCTACCTCCCGGACGACCAGAGCATAGCAGCTGTCTCTTATACACATCTAGATGTGTATAAGAGACAGGGGCGCACGCATCGGGTGGCTACTACCCCCCCCCGGGGGCCGACCACATCTATGGGCTTGGGCAAGGGCCATTGCAACCCCCGATGGGGTGGGATCAGGGCAGACTATATGCTCCCTACCCAAGCAGAGGTGCACCCTTGGAAGGGGTGGGTCCTGATCAGGGCATGCAAGAGCGAGACCCTCTGATTCACTCTCGTCTGAATGTTTGGCTCAACAGTGGTGGGCAGGGAGATGGATGGACCTTCCTCGCCGGTCCCTCTCACGACGACAAAGAAAATTCTCAAGGAGAAACAAATGCGGTCAAGTTGCAGTGGGATAGATGGGGAGAAAGGGCGGAAGGGGGCAGCCACATGGAGGAGAGATTCAGTAGGAACACAGTTGGACGACCGGGCTCAGCATCTTCCTTATCATCGGGTTCGAGGTTCCAGATGGGGAATGAGTTAGTAGGAGACGGTCTCTCGCGCCTTGGACCAGAGGGGATCCAGCAAGAGCACTCGGAGGCATCGACGGGAAATTCAGTTGGCGCCAGAGGAGGGGAGGGAAGAGAGTCGGACACGAGAAGCAAAAAGGAATATTGGGGTAATCGGGCTGCCACGATCAGGGGAGAGGATCGGGGCAAATTAACGCACAGGATAATACCGTTAATCTATGCAACGACAAAGGAAGGTTTAGTATTCTTAGGCAGATCCCACACGAATGGAAGACCGTTTCTGCCGTCAGAACCGGTGGAGAAGACACCTAGTCCGTCAGAGATAATCACGCGGACAAAGACTCTTTATGGTGATTTATTCCTTATTCGAATTGTCCCGAGATCGACAATGGCAAATGTAATTCTGGCAGTGGGGGAGGTAGTTTACAAATTTTATTATGCTATTATAGACGCTAGAATATATGCTACAACAGCGGAGTCCCTGATGCATCAAGGTATTAGGTGGTTCCAACTAGACGCGTTGAGGGAGAGGAACAACCACGAGTTCGAGGCTATCATGGTGGCTCCCGAAGTGGCCGCACTTATCATTCTCTCCCTCAACGAAAAGCTGCCTCAAGAGTTCAACCTACACTCGGTGTGTCTAGCATAGGCCCTTTTGGCTCCTTGGTGTTCCCCATCGCAGTCGTCCCAGTCAAGAAACTCGTTAGGAAGAAGTCTGATGGCTCAGTTCTCAGAAGGAGACCAGAGGAGATGGGGATCAAAAGTTCGTTCAGGTTCTACCCGCATCCAGCAATTAGCGGGCGCAACTGCTTCTTATGGTTAAACTGAGGATTGCGTCTTGGAATATGAGGGGCTTAGTAGGAAACAGTTCTCGTCTGGGTAAGCGGGGCAGGATCAAGGCGTGGTTGTTTCCGAAAAAAGTGGACATACTGTGTATTCAGGAGTCCAAGCTAGACGAAGCTAAGTTGCAGAGTTGGTCTAGTTGGTGGGACGGGCCCCAAATGTGGTCCCCTGCTCAAGGCTCAAGAGGCAGGGTGGGTATTTTATTCAAGTTGCACCGCTCTCTTCAATCCCCGGTTGTGGATTATGAGGCTGATCTGTGGGTCAGGTGGGCCTGGTTTAAGCTTCAGACGGGACCAGTGGAGTGGGTGCTTATGACTGTGTACGCCCCAACAGAACCCTCAGTGAGAGAATCATTCTTCAAGAACCTTCTGCCTGCTATTCCAGTGGACCCTCATCTAGTGATAATGGGTGATTGGAACATCTCGTTGGACGAAGCTCTGAAGGAAGGTTCTCGCACAACGGGTAGGAAGGATGCATCTGCACTGTTCGGACTGATGCAGGAGCTTGACCTCTCAGATCCTTACCGCTCGCTTAATCCGGTAGATGAAGGTTTTACCTGGTACTCGAACATCCATCGGGACCAAGGAGAGGTCACTCGCAGGCGCCTTGATTATCTTCTAGCAAGTGCTGAGCTGGTTCAAGGGTTGA